GATGCCCAGCAGGTGGGATGCAATAGGTGTCTGAGGTGAAGGTGCTACTACCAGCCGTGCTTCAGCATGCTCCCAAGCTGACCAGTTCATAGAGCAGCAATGAGACAAGTCTCTGAAATACAAGTTATCCCAGGAGAGGAGCTGAGGGTTGATGGTAAAATGTACATTTTACCTAGTCAAATTGTTATGCTTAACCATGTACTTGCATTTGAAAGATGAAAGCAACTTGGAAATATTTGTGCTATGGAGAAGAAGTTTTATGCAAAAATCCCAGTTGCCACTATCCTTGTGGAAATGGTCATTCTCTCTCCTTCAGCGATCTTCATCCTGGCAGTGCTACAAAGCCACTTCATCAGCAAAGAGTGACAGCGATTCACAAAGGAACACCGCAAATGGTCTGACATTCCAGTGACATGCTTGAACTGCTGCGACAATGCATCCCTGTCAGCACAACATGACGTGAGAGGCTACAATGTAATGCAATTGCCTGACATTGTTTCATATTTATTGGGTGGCTCTCTGCAACTCCATTTGACTAACATTGCCTTCCTGCTGCACCACCCCCATTATACCTACAGTGGTTCTCAAACTGTGGGTTGCAACCCCAAAGTGGGTCATGAGTTTCTTTTAATGTGGTCGCCAGGGCTGGTCTCCCTGCCGCCAGAGGCAGAAGCTGAAGCCCAAGCCCCGCCGCCCAGGACTGAAGCCATGCATGAGCAACTTAGCTTCACTCAGTTGCCTGTGGAATGGGGCCACGGGCAATTGCCTTGCTTACCGCCCCCTAACGCCGTCCCTGATTCTAGACTCTAGAATCTAGAGTAATACAGGACACTGGGGTCATGTAGTAATTTTCAGTGCAATGAAGTTTGAGAACCCCTGCTATATTCTGACTATTCAAGAGAATTGGAGGAATTAGGATACAATACTCTAGGCCACTTAGGACAGTGATAGTTGCCTTAGAAAAGGCCCAAATATGGGACCTTATGTGTGACACAAAATATTCATGCAAGAAACTTAAAATACTCTTAGATTCTTTCATTTTAAATTAGTGCCCATAACTCTTCATCTAGCCGGTGTCTGTGTTCAGGGTCTTTCTAGTCTTCAGTGTATGAGCAGACAAATTCCTGTTATGCATCCTACCTTGTGTAGTAAAAATCCTGCTCCCCCTCTATCTCTAATACATAGCACAGTCTTCTTTTTAACTAGAAAATTTCCCTTGGAAAGAATGGGTTAACATGACAGGAAAGAAGATTAGACATCTCACCCTCTCTGCGCAAACCCAGAATATGGCTGATCACATTTACAAAACCTCACACACTAGGAGGTTGATCCATCCCTTTTCCAAACGTACAGCTTCATTTAGTCAGTATCCATGTGCTGCTTCCTAGTTCTGGGATTTCAGCCATAATCCCTCCTTATGCTTGCTTGGTCTGAGCTCAGATCTTTTAAAGAGGCACTTACAAGGCTTTTGGGGACTGAGGAAATTGAAACATACAGTAGTTTTCCAAGCATGACTTCAGTGACTTGAAGAGTTTGCAAACCTGTTACATTTAACTGAAACAAGTACTGTATATGTTATAATCCAGTGTACTCCATGCTTTCTACCTTGGATAGTCATGAAATGACATTTGGAGAGAGAACTATGATAGGGAAAGAGACTTCACTCTCAGCTTTATATTATCTACTTTTATCTACCATGTTAGTTCCTCAGGTTGTGCCACTTGAAATTCCAGAGGTTGGCAGTGGCTCAGTGTAATTCTTGACAGCTTTCAGATTCTCTCTACAACAGACAATTAGCCACAAACTCAAGAGCTTTTCTATCTAAGCCTATATTGGTCCTGTTTGTCAGAGTATGAAACTCTGGAAAACAACTTACTGTAACTCCAGAAATAGCTATTGCAACAACATGTCAGTTTCACATTTTGTCCGAGCATGACATGACACACATAGTAATCTATTAGCTCCAAACCCTGGAGGAGGTGGTAAACCTCAGGTATCAGGGGGTAGCCGTGTTAGTCTGTATCCACAAAAACAACAAGGAGTCCGGTGGCACCTTAAAGACTAACAGTAAAACATAGTTGGCCAAAAAGCAATATTTGAACAGCTTTCCTTTGAACAGATCAATGCATTCACCGTCTTAAAAGGTCTATTCACCAGCTGTGTTTTATTTGCAGCTCTACCAACTCAGGAAATAAGTGCAGGGCCGGCTCCAGGGTTTTGGCGCTCCCGGCAGCCCCTTAACTCCCAACGGGAGTGAAGGACCGTCCGCCGAATTGCCGCCGAATCGCTGGACCTGCCACACCTC